GCTACGGCATCGTAGTAATTATTATGGAACAATGATGGTTATCTGGATGGTATGGGATATGCTAAATCTGAATTGGTAACTGGATGTTATTGGTTAATCAAGTGATTGCTATAGTACATGTGCTTACCTAGATGGATAGGTCCTAATAAAGATGATGCAAAGTATTTAAAAGGATGTCTTCATGATAACTTATGCTTTTCGCAAACAAGTCAGCTAGCCCACTAAAGAAAGCCTTGCATAATCCTTGGTGTCGCTTTATTTTGGTTTAAGACGGGTAAGTCTAGCTGAGTACCTTCTCGTACTCAGGGCGTTGTTCCTATTGTTGTTGCAGATGGTCAAATGTACTACGGCTATTGCATTAACTGCCTGTACCCGGCGATGGGTGACAACTAGGACCAAGGGCAATGGTCACTCCATATCTCTCATCTGATGCTTTTGTTGGAAATGACTACCTACTGGCACTGTATCTGAACTAAAAGTGTGTGTGTGGCTTTAAAACTATTTGCTTCCGCTATTTCAGTTTGAACTTGGGTTGTAATAACTTTATGTTCTAAACTCTTATGTATCCACTGTCATTGTGAACTTTATGTAACATGTGACGGTGACTGCTAAACTTGTACGATCTTGGTTTGTATGTCGATTGGTTTGAAATCCTTCATGGTTTCACGGACTACCGGGTTATACAGGCTTAAGTTTGCTAAATTATCTGCTTCGGCGGAAGATTTCCTTACTTAATCTCGTATAATTGGTCGGTTCTGTTACAGTAGGGCACCTATTGCCTGAACCAGTATAAACCTTGTGTCTCTTTGCATCACCATCCCGGATTAGAGGCACGCAGTACACTTTCACTAGTTGGTTGAGGATCCGCCGGTCCAAAACACCGACAGTATGCGAACCTTGGGGGTTGCTCCTACCTACTCTAGGTTTGGTGTTGGCAACGATGGCCCGTTGGGAGGCCCCTTGTTACTGGTTTACCGGTAAGTACTTCGGTTCACTATATTCTTCGAGGCAGTTACATATGATGAAATTATTAATGGCTAATTCATTATCGTGTTCAATGAAGCATTGAAACGGGAAGGATACACTTCCTATAGCTTTGTATATCTGGACGCAAGCAGAGTTAGTTAGAGGGAACGCGAGGCGCAAGTACATGGAGTACACGGACTGTCTCAACGTCCTGACACAGCACCAGATTACACTCTCTTTACTATCATACATGTGTCTTGTTCGATGTACACTATATCACAACCTAACTCAATTATGAAATGTTCAGGTGCATTGGTGTCCTTGGGATGCTCCGGAGTTCCAGTACTATCTGAGTCCTACCACTAGGGATGAGTCAGACGAGTATCGCTGCAACACCCCTCTTATTTTCTTCTACGTGGTCGAGATTCACTTAGCCCATCAGGGTTTGCAGGAAGTTTGAAAGAATGATAGGCTACCCACCACCGCTTTACTTCACCAACCAAGAATTGCACGGGTGCGCTATCGATTAATAACAAAGCTACAATTCAGAGGTGTGTATGGTACAACTAACAATCGTTTTGTTGCAGGTATGACCGCAGGAAGAGGTACAAGACTAAGGATTGACGCGTAACACACAACGCGTACATCTAGTTGTGGCAGACCAGGGATCGGTAGCCGGTCGATGTGGGTCCCCCACACGACCAGCACACCTTCGACGAGTACCTGCGGTGGCTTCATAGGTCTACGAGGACACATATCAAGCCCCCGTACACTGAGGAGGCGATTAATGAGGACAACGAGGAAGATGTGATCGAAGATGTGTACGACGTTGCCACTAGGGACGACACACAACTACAGAGAGCCCCGCTTCAAAGATACATGGTAAGATACTCGAATGGTACAATTTGTTATCCATTTGGTATTATGTGTACTAAAACTATCCAACCACGTTTCTGTACTCAGGCGACATAATTGTCAAGGCTGTCCAACAAAGCAACGTTTCGGCTTCACGAGTCTAGAGGCAAGGGCCAGACGTTCTCGAGGCTTTTGTGGAGGTAAACATAAACTTATCCGTTCCAAAAATGTTTCTTTAGTGTATATGCGTTTGGGAAATGCACTAACTTTAACGTCTATTTATGCAGAAGGTGAAGCGGAGCTACAGGAAGCTAGCTCAGAAGTTGAGCTGCATGGACACTCCTTGGGTGGAACTCAATTACCCGGCGCGGTCCGGTGGCACGTCTTCTGGCTCTTTGAGGACACCAGCCGGCTCATCTCAGCCGGTGACAGGTGCCGCTTCCGCAGTGCGTACACCACCACATCATAGTGCTGGGAAGGACCCTGCAAACGAGGATGATGAGGACGACGATGACGACGACAACAACCCCCCGAGCTTCCGCATACAGCACCACCAGTGGGACGATTGGCAGCAGGACGAGATCGGCATGTCTCAGCTAGGTGGTGCCCCACTTGGTACCCAAGGAGCCTCACAGGTAGTAACAAAAGTAGTTTCTTTAAATACGTAGGCTCCATGAACTAACTATCATAAAGATTATAAGTAATCGTGCATATCATATACTTGCAGGGTACGAGCCGTACGCACCGACAACGCGAACACACTGACGTTGGCTACACTCCTAATGTGTTGTCTACAAATCCGAAGAGACAGAGGTGTCCGAGGGATCCTTACACTCTTCGGACTTAGTTGGTTATGTCGAACGAATATTATCGTCCGAAACTTGCAGACTTAGTTGGTTATGTCGAACCAATGAAAATGTTATGTGTCAACTTGTCAACTTGCGTCCGGACTCCATTTATTTGCTTCATATCCGTTTCAATGCATCGCGGCACTTGTAGTTGTTCAGCTCCCGTTCAATTGCAATTGAGGCTGGTCGGCTTCTGTCTGTGTCCAAGTCCTGCCACGTCGTGGGCCTTGGCGCGTCAGTGCCGCGCCAAGATAGGTGGCGCGGCAGAACCTGCCACGTCACCGGTCAGTGCCCCAGGGCGTCGCGCGTCATCCCCCTCGCCGCACCACCATGCATGACGCGGCACAGGTGTTTCGCCGCGCCAGGGAAATAGGCGCGGCCAAAAGTGTTAGTTTTGAGAAAAAAAACAGTGTTAGATTTAAAATTAGTTTACAAAAAGTGTTAAAAAAATCTATATTGGTGGGTTGTATTTGTATGTTTATTGTTATGGAGAAAATATGACATTTTTATGATTTAATAATAGCAAAGAGTTTGCTGATAAAAGGATGCCCACTTAGACAAAATAAGGTTAAGATGACAGGAACAGCAACCTTAAGGATAAAAAAAATAAGGTTAAGATGACAAAAGGATGCCCACTTAGGCAAAATAAGGTTAAGATGACAGGAACAGCAACCTGAAGGATTAAAAAAATAACAAGACCAAACAAAAAAGAATTGAGCTTACTAGCATCCAACGCTGAGCGACACCAATGTTGCTGAGCGACACCAATGTTGTTGTTCTTCATTACTGCCACACAAATGGGAACTTCAGATCGGATAGCTCACACTCGCTCCTCAACAATTCTCTTTTGGGATCCAGATAGAGGATTCCTGTATGGTACAAAGTATGGAGGTTCAAATGGATCATCAGAGTCTCCGCTCTGCAGAGGTTCATGAGAAATTTCTTGCATATCACTTTCCGAGGAAACATGTTCTCCTGCAAACAGTTTTAGACCATAAAAAAAGGAATAATCTAGAGAGCTAATAGTATTTTTATGTTTTGCAACAATACCAGCGGTTGGTTCCTCCTCAATATGGATTTCTGAAGCCATCTTTGCACTAGATGAACCAGGGCATGGGCCAATCCTTTGAAAGCCAGCCCCACCTCTAGAATGAGTTGTTTCATGAAGAACATAGATCATAAATGTGTATCTTATCTCATCTTTTGTCGGTAAAAGGAGGCAGATATCTCCCTCCTGCACATGATTGTCACGGACAAAGTCTAGCCACCGTCCCATAAGCATGTTCTTTCTACTTTCATCTCTTTTGTAGAATTTGGGATGCCACTTCTTGCTCTTGCCAGGCGTCTCAAGAGTGACATTTGTGGTTTTATCTGGGAAATGTGCAATTGCATATTCCTTGGTAATTCCCTGATAGCAAATGGAACAAGATGCTAAGAAGATTCATGACAACCGGAATCTCATAGGTAAATTTCCCATACAGTGACACTATTATCTACTCCTTCCATTCTAAATTATCAAACGAAATGTCTTATAATTTGGAATGCAGCGAGTACAAACAGTAAATGTTGATATAAATGAGTTGCCTATTCAATAGTAGTAGTGGAGTTACCAGAAAAGGACCCGGGCTTTGTAACATCCTAATGGGCCGAAGTGGGCCCAATCCAATCCAGTTGTGGGCAGGTGGTACTGTAGCATCCGAACTTCGGGTACTTAGACCGAGCACTGTTCACACAAAAATGGACGGCCAAATTCGGGGGTACTGTTCACGGTTTACTGTAGCGCCACGAAAAATACTGCGCACCCAGTTTAGTACCTGGAAACTCTGAGATCGCCGGATCGACTTAAATACCAGGGCCAGGGACACGTAGTAACTTTCGGTTAATCGTTTTGAACGAAACGAGGACGAAAATTCAAACGGATTGCTACGCAGGTCGGACCACTCCTAGGAAGAGTGGGCCGGGGCCATGTATGTCGGGACTGGACGTTACAGGCTTGCACATTGTTTATCCGCATTATTGATATAAAATTTGTGAATTCAGATTGAATTTCCTGAATAAGCTTCATTACTCTCTTCTTTTGTGCTTTAGATAGATAACTTCTACATGCCAAAACATACTCCAAAGATACGTAATGAAGCTTATTTAGGAAATTCAATCTGAATTCACAATTTTTATATCAATAATGCGGAGAAACAATGTGCAAGCCCGGGTCCTTTTCTAGTAACTCCACTACATAGTGTCTTCTCCTGTACCAAATTTCGCAACAGAGTTTAATAACAAGTGATGTACAATTCGAGGTAAATATGCATGGAACTTGAATAATGCTTTAACCTGACTCCTCAGATGATGAGGACGCCATAGCCATCTTCACAATTTTCCGGTGACGACAGGAGCTAGCCTTTTGGCATTCCCTGAATCTTTCACTGCTTTCGGATGCTTCTATGGTATCATGAGAACTGCTTGAAATATTAATGGGATCTACACTTCTTTCTCGAACACTTGAGATGTTTTTTATGCCAGGGCAGGAAAATAATTCCTCACAACCATCATTGGGTGAATATGGCATGACTGTGTCCACAACATCGTTTTGCAGAGTGGGCAGCTGTGGTACATTGGTGGCCATGCTTCTTGGCAGCAACTCATTGCTAGCCCTATGATCCAGCTGGAGTGTGACCTCTTCCTTGTCTCTTCCTGGTGTGAAGCCATTTAAGATATCCTTGTTACTATCACCATGTGCTTCAGACTTGTCCTTGTCGTTTCTCAGTGAGTCCACTGTCCAAAACGTTTTTTTATGTGCATCAACCACAGTTTTTTTAGCCTTTACAGACTTGCCTTCCATATTCTTGCAGCCATCTGAAGTGTGTTGATTTGTCTGATTGTCATGATCAGTGTGTTTGGAAGACAAGTTTGCACCACTATCCTTCATTCTATTCGATTTGTCTCCACTTTTTCCAAGAACCGAGTTTCCAAGGTCAGCTGTGGAACATGATGACCCTAAATTATTTGATCCTAAAACCACATTCTCTCTCTTCTCTAATCCTTTGAATGGTGCTGTGAGTGATTGTGGGACTTTCTTCAATTTGCTAGCCAACCCTTCTGTTGTTTCTAAGAGGTGAGACTGGTGATTATCACCCAATTTACCCAAGCTATTCACAGTCAAAGGACAAGGCTGCTCAGTGTTCAATGCAACAGGGTTTTCATGGTCCACCTGCTGGTTCTTGCTGTGGTTGCTCTGAGCTGATTTTGTCCCAATGGTTTCACAAGAGCGTGATGCTTCTGCGCTTGGGTGGTAACTTTAGCAATTCGTACTTTTCTATTTGTGCAGTTACCCATTGGTTTCATAATTGACTTCTTTTTAGTGTGCTTCTTAACCGAAGAATAAATTTTGTTGAGAGATGTATATTTAGTCGCAAATGATTCATTTTCTCGATTTCTCCATGGCCCTGCATCCCTTACTGACTCCACACTCTTGGTAATTAGCTGATGTACTGGAGAACGAGAATGAGCATGACTTGTTGGCCTTTCACTTGACACCTTCTCTAGAGAACTGACACAAGTAACTTCACCACGCCTTTGTAGGCATTCATAACAGAACCATTCTATTAACGATGCATCGAAGACAACTTTGTCCAAACAGTATCTACACAATGACGAATCATAATAAGAAAAGGCGAACAATAAATTAATAAGCTGTAACAACATAACTATATTACAGAAGGTACTTGAGTTTTCCATTTAGGTATTATATGATTTGCAAATGTCCATTTATAAGTCAATGGAATGTGAAGGTAGGGATAGATTCATATAGTTTGTCTACTCGGCTTTTGAATTGATTGGGAAAAAAAATAATGATGTAAAACGCTGGATAAAAACTAGACATACCCCCCTACAATGATAATGTGGTTTGTCAAATAAGGAAAAAAAATATTGTTGTCTACACTACACCCATTAATAAGCACAACATAAAATCGAATGTAATGAAATAAAGCATCATTAGGGTAAAAGGAAACATACTGGTGCACAGCACAATGCTTGCAGTCTCTGCAACATAGCAGAAGTTGTCTGTAACCAACATCTCCACAGACTTCACACACAGTGTTCTGCACAAACACAAAAAGGTTTGCTGTCACCACTCACCAGTAACTCACTAACACAAAAAATAATCGAATTGTTCCGGCAATATTCCCATCTTTGCTGAAAAGATTATCTATCCAGGTGGGTGTCACATCAGTTGATTACTACTCGAAGCGCATTAGACTGCCTACAGACAACAGCAGCAGAAGGTTCATACAATACAGTAAAAAGCAATGGCAGCATCGATGGGAGGAATCGATATCATTTGATTAGTATCCGAATCGCCCGAACGCGAATCGCATCCTGATTGAGGACAGGAGCACTAAAACCGAAGGAAACAGTAGTGCCCCTAGTTAATCTCGCAGCGCGGTGGGACTTGGGAGCAATCCAGACGAGGCTGATACCCCGGGCACCACGCTTTTGTGGGCGCATTACATTCCCAGCCAACCAGTGGTAGCATATCAGGAAATCGCAGAGGATGAGTGAGGAGGAATCGAGTAGCATACATACCATATTCACCGGTCACCACCACCATGCCACTCCAAGAAATGAGAAGGGAACGCCCCCGCCGGCCTCAGCAGTTCAGACCGATCCCAATCCGGAACCTCCAGGAGGCCGCCGGGGTTTCGGCCGGTCGGAGGGCCACGCTTGTGCGAGGGCTTAACGAACGAACGGACGTGGGCGCAGCGGCGGTCGGTCAACGGAGTATAGGCGGCGGGCGAGGAGAGACGGAGGAGCTGCGGCGCGCCGTTGGATTTGGCTTTGGACGACCCACCGGCGGCGGCCACCGCCAGTGTCAGACCTTCCTCGTATTGTTTCCGCATCGGGTCACTCAGGCCGGAATGGGATACGGCCATAACCAAATCCGGACATGAAGCACGGTCGGAAGCTGGGAAGTGAAAGTGAAACCATCACAAGAAATTAGGTTGTGCTTAAGTGGTGAACAAAAAAAAAAAAAAAAAAGCTTCACTTCACACGCTGTGGCAGGCGATGCCAATTTCAAGCGATGCCACGGAAACTGGGAGCGGTACTCTTTCGCACGCTCTGTACTTCCTGATGGCTTATAAAGAATTTAGGAGGGTACTCTATACTTTCAATGGTAGAAGGCTCAAGCACCGACTGATTGATGCTAAATCCGCCCCTGACACGTCTAATGGGTCAGCTCATACCACTGGTGGCGGAGCAAAAGGATTTTGCAATCGGTAATGCTGGACGTCACCTCCGCGCGCCGCCATCGCCACCAGCCAATACCTGGCGGCCTTAGAAAGGAAAGGCCCGGGGGAGGCGGCTGGACAAGCGGTGGCGACGGTTCGGCCGGCAGTGAGCTCAATCGTGGTGGCGCCGCCGAGTAGACGAGGCCAGACAAACGGCGGCGGGGGCGAGGAGAAGGAGGCAAGTTGCCGGGATTGGGATTACGAAGGGCGGAGAAGGAGCGGCGAGGGTGGGCGGCCAGCGATGAGGTTGCCGGCGAGGTAGCCGGCGGCGGAGGTGGTGGTGGGCAAGTAGGAGGAGGCAAGTTGCCAAGATTGGGATTAGGAAGGGTGGGAAGGAGCGGCGGAGGTGGGCGGCCTGCGGCCAGGGTGGTGGCGGAGGTGGTGGTGGGCAGGGAGGAGGAGGCGAGTCGCCGGGATTGGGATTAGCAAGGGCGGGGAAGGAGCGGCGGGGGTGGGTGGCTGACGATGAGGTAGCCGACGGCCAAGGCGGTAGCGGAGGTGGCAGTGGGCAAGGAGGAGGCGGGTGTCCGTCCAGACGTCCGAGCGCTAGTAATACCGGGTTTTGCAATCCCACGCGATATTCATTGCATTTCACAAACCAGTTTGGACTTTGGACAGCCGCTTGGGTTACCGGGCAGTGCGTGGGCCTTCGCCGCTAGCTCCTACCGACCGAGTTTCTAATCCGCCGATCCGCGCACGTGCTTAAACTATACCTCAGGCTATTTGCTAGAAAAATAATTAGAAAATTCGCCTGTTATGCCATTTGGTGTTTCAGATTACACCATAAGCCATTTTTATTGCAAACGGTCACCCTATTCACTTATTCAGCATAGTTGCAAAATACGGAATAGTTATTTGCACCCCTTGACTATCGTTCAAGAGCCAATTTCATCACTTAACTTTATTTTTTGCTCAATTTCATTTCAATACTACAGCACTATAGTGTCTGATTCCGTCTTCAAAATTTGTTTTTAGGGGCTCAACTTCATCCATAAACTATAAAGTGGTTGTTTCCGCTTTTAAGTTTCCAATATCTTAGTTCGTTTAAATATAATTTACAACATCACTCCAGGAGTAGTTCTGTAAAATACCATTTCTCAAAAATAATTTACATTTGCCATATGTATACCTCCAATAACTTTATTTTTCGTGCTGAACTCTGTCAATTTTCCTCTTAGGTACCCATACGTCCTGCAAAAATCGAGCTACTGAAACGTTTAGGCCCGGCTTCAGGTTTTGATACTTGAAACTGTACCCCCTGATTATTGTAACTGCAAAATAAAAATAAAAAATAATCTAAAACCATTTCCCAATAGGGAAAAAAAAACAGAACTACAGATACCATTTGTGCTTCACTAATGAAAATAGGCAAGAAGCACAAAGTTGTCATCTCGGCATCTCACACTACATTTTTCCAAAGATTCTTCTGTAAGAACAGTTTTTCCGAGTTCTCAAATCTGTACTCCGAAATGTATTTGAGACAAGAAATATCATCTTCAGGATATAAGATAAACATGCTATTTCTGCATAAGAAGCACACGCTAATATAACAGGTAGCAGCTAGAAAAAGATACTGCATTTGCAACTCTGAGAAACTGTACAAAAGCAATCGCCAAACATTAGAAAACCTACTACATTATCACAGGGTGGATAGTCGTTGCTGTCTGAGAGTTGTTCATGGATCAATTTCACTTGAGAGTACAAAGCGAGAAAAATAACTTGTGAGATACCAACAGACAGAAAACCTTTTGTTTCTACTTCAAACTAAACTGCTCCCTGGAGATGATATAGACCTTCATGGTAAGCTTCCTTTTGTTCTTCTTCAGTTCGAACAGACAGATATCACCAACTCGAAGACCATTGTCGCGAGCAAATTTGGACCAACCTCCATTAAGAAACCACCTTCTACCATTATGAATCACCATCTGTGTCTCCCATGTCTTCCCCATGCACTGGAGCACCACAGTTCGCCCACTAGCTGGAAGATGCACAGAAGCATATCGTACACCTAATTCCTAATGTGTTATAGATAGAAAATTAGCAACGCATTGAAATGACAGGACACATAACCCTTTTCTTAAACAAGCAAAGTTATATGCCAACTTAGAAAAATCAAGTTGAGATGACAGGAACCGTCCAGACAATAAAAAATAATGATTCAATACCATAAGAAGAATTGTGCTTACTAGCATCCACTTCTGAGCATCACCAACATTGTTCTTCATAACTGCTACACAAATGGGAACTTCAGATTGGATGGCTCACACTCGCTCTTCAACAATCTTCTTTTGAGATTTAGATAGAGAGTTCCTGCATGGTACAATGTATGGAGGCTGAGGTGAACCACCAGGGTCTTCACTCTCCAGAGATTTGTCAGAAATTTCATGCACATCAGTTTCGAAGGAGACATGTTCATCTGCAGATAGTTTTAGGCCATAGGTAAGCAATAATCTAAAATGCTGCTAATTTCGTAATATTTTTCTGTAATACCATTGGTTATTTCATCCATAATATGGACTCCTGAAGCTGTTTTTGCACAAGATCTACCAGGGCATGGGCAAACCCTTTGAAAACCAGCTCCACCTATGGAATGAGTCGCTGTTGCACAAAGTAGATAGACCATAAATGTGGATCTTCTCCCACCCTCTGTTGGGAAAAGGAGGCAGATATCTCCTTCCTGCACATGATTGTCACGGACAAAGTCTAACCACTTCCCCATAAGCATGTAATTTCTACTGGCATTTCTCTTGTAGAATTTCAGATGCCACTTCTTGCTCTTGCTAGGGGTCTGAAGTGTGACATTTGTGCTTTCATGTGGGAAATGTGCAAATGCATATTCCTTGGAAATACCCTGGTAACAGATGAAACATGATGTGATGCTGTTAAAGGACAACTAAGAATACTAAACAAAATGGTTCAGTCATTAAGCAAAAAAAGAAGTAATTTGTCCACATGTGTTCAGAAGATTCATGACAACTTGAAGATCACAGATAAATTTCTCATATAAGTTGGTCACAAGCTATCAACCAATTTTATGTTGGGAGACGGGAGTTGTCTATTCAGTGTAGTGACTTTACCAGAAAAGGACCTGGGGGTTGAATATTCCTCTTCTGCATGACTGCTACAAAAATAGTGATTTTAGGTCGAATTTCCTGGATAAATGCCACTAATATCTGCTTTTGTGGTTCAGATAGGTAACTTCTATACGATAAAACATAATCAGCCCTTGGGGGTGCCTGAAGATCATCAGACTCTAAAGAATCATTTGAAGAGGGAATGTCCTCTCCTGTAAAATTTTTTTGCAATGAATTATAATAATAAGAGATGGTGGAGTTCGAGTAAAATATGTGGGTTACTTCAATAACGGTATTACCTGAAAACTCAGATGACGAGGATGCTGCATCCTTCTTTAATGTTTTGCCACGATGACAGGTTATACCCTTCTGACACTCAGCAAAGCTTTCAATGCTTTCTGATGATTCAGTGGTATCGTGTTGAGAGCTGCTTGATATATCAATGGAATCTACACTTCTTTCTTGAGCACTTGTGTTGTTTCTGAAGCCAGAACAAGAAAACACTTCCTCACAACTATCATTTGGTGAATGAGGCAAGAATTTTTCCATGGCATTTTTTTGCAGAATGGATGGCTGTGTTACATTGGCACCAATGGTTCTATGTGGCAACTCATTGCTAGTTCTGTAATCTTGTTGGCATATGTCCTCTGCCTTCTCTAGAAACCTGCCACGAGTAACTTCACCACGCCATTGTAGGCATTCATAACACCACCACTCTACCAATGATGCATCAAAGACAACCTTTTCCAAACAGTATCTACAGAATGACAAATCCTAATAAGAAAAAGCCAATCGTAATCAATGGCACACCGACATAATTACACTAGAAGGTTGAACACTTGGTATTGTTCACATAAACAGGAATAAAATAAAATAAACCATCATTAGGATGAAAAGAAAACATACAGGTGCACCACAGAACTGTTGCAGCCTCTGCAACCTATCAGAAGACACTTATAACCAATATTGCCACACACTTCACACACAGTGTTCTGTAAAAATACCAAAAGTATTAGCCTACCTATAAAAATAAAGAAGGTTCAAATATTAGTCATCCATCACAAACATAGCATGTTTGTATTCTTGTGTTAGATTTCTTATTTGCCTTTCTTAGATCTGATCCACCTAAATTTACCTAAGTGCCAAGGCTGCTCATTAATAAATTAATATAATTGCCACCATTCATGACAATGCCAAATAAAAATCTCTACCACACCATGTACCAAGCCATTGCCCAGCCATCATCTGGCTATGACATATGCTCCCATCCCACCCCTGATGTGCAAATCAAAGGCTGAAGGGCATAAGTGGGCCATATAAAGGTCACAATCCTTCCTAGGTTACAAGCAGTCGCCAGCAGCATTTACAAAATAATAAATCTTGCTGCACATTACCACAAAACAAAAAACTTGTTGCACAATGGGGGCAATGTTAACATTTCAATGGGCGTAACGTGAATTCCAATCCTGATTGGGCACCAGAGCACTAAAACCAAGCCAACGGTACAACAGGTAATGCGAATCAAAACAGTAATGCAATGATCTTGTTGCCCAACGGGGGCATCCAAAAATCGCAGATCAGGCCCTTTCTTTTCTGTGAGGGACGCATTGCATTGCCACTGCCAACCGAACTCGCTCCGGCCACATTTGTTCCGCCGCCAAAGAACCGAAAAAGGAACAGGAAATCACAGCATGACAGAGAGTGGAGAAATCGCGTATACATACCATGCTCAAATCGGCCCTAATCCCGGAATCTCCCTCCAAGAAGCCAGGGGGGCATTTGCAAGGGCTTAGCGTAAGGGTCTAAGGGAGGCGGCGCCAAGGCGGGTCTGCGGTGCGCCGTTGGGTCCAGCAAGCTTGTCTGTTGTCTCTACGTCGGAAAAGAGCAAACAAAAAAAAAAAAAACCCTGATGAGAAGCACAAAAATCGCTTTGTAGTCATGTACCGGTGCTAGTATATCCGCTCATAATAATATTTATGGTACTGGTACAAGACTATTTTCATAATATTTATGGTACTCTAAAATATTATTATAAAATTAGATTAAACGACCTATCTAATGATATTAATTTTATAACATAAATATTATTATTTTTATATATATTTAGTCAAAGTTGTTTCCTCAGAAAGTGAAAATGATAGTTATTTAAAGACAGATGGAGTAGGGGTCGTCTTAGGATCACAGCAATTCTCCCTCCGTCCCAAAATAGCAGTCGTTATGGGATCATGTAGGTCAAATTTTCTCAACTTTGACTGGGTTGGTAGAAAATGCATATAACATTTTATATCTCCAAACAAGTTTATTATGAAAGTATATTCAACGATCTACCTAATGATACTAATTATTTATTATAAATATTAATATTTTTTATATATATTTGGTCAAAGTTAAACGTGTTTGACTTCGAAGTGAGATTGACGTCTATTTTAGACAGGGGAGTACCAATTTGGTTGTGAGCTACTGTAACACTGTGAGTTCATCTTTGACCAGTGTTTTTCAGCTTGTTTTTTCAGCCGGAACAGTGTTTTTTCTTACCCCAAATCAACCGGAACAATGTTTCGATTTTTTTTTCAGCGAAACGAATGGAGCCTAAAGGAGCACAAAAGCCATGTTGTTGCATATGCAACAAACATTGATGCTGTTCCTGGTGTCACCAATATCGAGCCGCACACCAACTCTTTGACGCTGGGCATTGAAATGGACACCGACATCAACCTCGCGGACGCGGCAGTGCTTGTGGAGGCTGCATCTGTCCAAGGATCTCAACTCTGAGAAGTTGTATATGGAGGCTACTGCAAGTGAAGCAAAAGCAGACACTACTGTTATTCCGACAGTGAGCGGTGGCATCACTGACCATTGTGAATGCTGTTGTACCGGTCAGCAAGCTCACTATTACCACATCATCAGGAAGCAATCTTGTCTTGAAAACACGTTACTACCCCAAATTAGCCTAACTAATTTGCAATCTAGTTGTGAAAAAAAAAACTTGAGTCACTAATGAAAACAGGCTACTACCCTGAATATTCTTTTTTCTTGTCTGTGTACCGTGCACTCATAAATTTGCACAGCAAGGAAAACGCTTGCAGTTGCCTACTAATGGAACACAAACAGTATTGCATTAATTTTCCTTTTTACCATAAGAATTAACTAGCAAAAGATGCTGCATTGCTTAAAAATTACTAGAACCAGTCTGGATGGATACTGATGGCGTGCATCAAATTAAAGAGTTGCACAGATAATTCGACGACAACCATGGATTATTTCAAAGTACTACAAAATAACAAAAATAAACCACAAGGGTGCCAGCACAAAGAAAAGGTCACCATTTTCTTCTAGATTATACTACAAACTAAAGCTCCTTCCTGGGAATGATATGGACCATCATGGTAAGCTTCCTCTCTTTCCTCTTCAGTTCAAACAGACAGATATCACCAAAACCTAGACCATTGTCAATAACAAATTTGTGCCAACCTCTAGAAAGATAATGTCTTTGACGAGTTGTCACTATATTGGCCTTCCATATATTTCTCCCGCACCAGAGCACCACAGTTTGCCCTCCAGCTGGGAGATTTACAGCAGTAGCATATCGCGAACCTAATTCCTGATGTGTTATGTATACAAAGTTAGAAAAGCAAACCTAATTCCTGATGTGTCACAGATATAGAAAGTTAGAAAAACAATGACAGCGAGGCGGACATTTGAAATGAACTAATTCTAAATTTATATTATTGGCCTTTATATACGCAGTCTTTTACAGGGAGGAATAAGACATTACTCATGTTGTAACAAAAAGTTTTTCATATATGAAAGCAGGTGCATATACAGTTTGGCATTCATACAACAGCAATCATGTCAACATCAATAAACCAGGTTAAGGTGACAGTAACTAACTTTAGAAGAATGAATAATAATAACTGAATGAATTTAGAAGAGAATTGAACTTACTAGTGTAGGTGTCCGAGACATCCCAAGGCTGCTCCGCCTCATGATTGCTACATAAATGGGAACTTCAGATTTGATGGCTTGCACTCTTTCTTCAACAATCTTCTTTTGGGATTTAGATAGACCGCTATTGGATGGTAAAATGTAGAGAGGCTGAGATGGACTACCAGAATCTTCTCTCTCAAGAGATTCACGCAAATTTTCATTCATGTCACTTTCCGATGAAACATGCTCTCCTGCAGATAGTTTTAGGGTATAAGAAGGGAATAATAAGTAATCCAAAATGCAATTGATTTTCTAATACTTTGCAATAATACCATCCGTTGGCTCCTTAGTATAAACTTCTGAAGCCATATTTGGACTAGATCCACCAGGGCATGGGCCAGCCCTTTGAAAACCAGTTTCACTCCTGGAACAAGTAGCTGCTGCGCAAATTAGATAGACTGTAAACGTAAAACTTCTCCCAAACTTTTCCGGTAAAAAGGCGCAGATATCTCCCTCCTGCACATCATTGTCACGGACAAAGTCTAACCACTGCCCTTGAAGCCTGTACACACTACCTTTTGTTGTGTTGAATTTGGGATGCCACTTCTTGCTCTTGCCTGGTCTCTGAAGTGTGACATTTGCGTTTCCATGTGGAAAATATGCAAATGCATATTCCTTTATAATATCCTGATTACAGATGGAACATGATGTGATGTAAACAAACAACCAAGATTACTAAAAAAATAATAGTTTCAACAGTAAACAAAAGGGAAAAAAGTGTCATTTGTCCACATATAGTCAGAAGGCTCATGAGAATTTGAAGAGGGTTAAATTTAGCTTATACCTACGGCAGCATGTACATCAGCAAAAAGGAAATAATTTTTGGGAGCGGTGACATGCTATTCAACAGTAGTGAACTTACAACAGAAGGAGCTGGAGGATGAACATGGCTCTTCCGCATGACGGCAATGTAAACAGTAGTTTTAGGTTGAATCTCCTGGATCAGCAAAGTTACTCTCTCCTTTTGTTCTTGAGATAGATAAGTTCGATGTGATACAATATAATCAGCCCCTGGTGCCTGAAGATCATCTGACTCAAAAGATTCATTTTCAGATGGAATGTCTTCTCCTGTGCAAATTGACGCAACAGGCAATAGGAATAAGTAAGGTAAAATTTGAGGCAAATATGAAAGTAACTTATAAGTTAAAACTGTTAACCTGAGCCACCAGATGACGAGGATGTTACAGTCATCTTCAAAGTTTCCTCATGTCGACTGGAAAGTTTCCCTGACGATCCTATGGTATCAAACTGAGAGCTGCTTGAAATATCAACATAATCTACTCTTGTTTCTCTAACACTTGGGATGCTTTTTATGCCATCACAACAAATGATTTTCTCACAACCATCGGAATCAAAGATCAGAACCTTGAAAACAGAGTTTTCAATGTGCCGGAACAGCAAGAAGTCGTTCTGTTCAATATGATGGGCACCAACAAATTCCTCCCACCCATGTCTGAGAACCATCTTATTATAACATTCCATAACTTCAACATTATATACGCTGCCATTAGGGGATTCTAACTTGATAGTTTGGGATAACTTTCCTACAAAATGCTTCAGAAATTTGTTTGGCACAATCTGTAGTAACATTGAAAGGAATTGATGTAAATAGAGCAAGTCCTGGCCAGGTCAACCGAAAACAAATAATGTAATCTGAGATATGTTTGTCCGGAACACAGGATATGTATCAGTAAACAGATATCGTTTTTTTATGGAGCAAACTACATTTATGATGTCTTTAGAAAAGGGAAATTGAAGCTTTGGCTATTTTAACACGGCATACAAGAGTTTCTGTCACTGTTTTAAGCCTTGGACATATCAAATGAAACACTAAAAATAATTTAAGAACTTCTGTGATTTAAATTATGTTTCTCACTATGAGGACCATATGGTCGTAGGGGTGTCACTCTTCCCAGTGTTCAGGAAGTAGCTAGCAGCCTAGCACCCTTCAGTTCTTCCTGCCTACCCCAAATCAAGTTAATCAAAGTACTAAATCCAGTCTCCATTTACCAAATCGAAATTTACATTTTTGGTATAAAATATTGGGAAATGCAAGTTATGGAAAGCAAGATATCAAACTTGAGAAGTATTACCATGATATGTTTAGGACTGGCAGTCATACGCCTGAGGAAGCAGCTCATACTTTGATTTTTCTCATCCGGATGGTCCAAGTATCTTTTGCAATGATCACAAGGTTTCTTCATTCGGGAAGGACCACTTCTAGCCATGTCAGCTGGAATTGCAGTTCGTATTAGAAACATATTCAATTAAAAAGAAGACTCTGCTCTGCTGCACACTAGCTCATTTCCAGCATAAAAAAAAAAATCTTAACACTACATCAAAAATATAGTTTGCTCTATAAAAAACGAGTTTTTTTCCCCTGGAAATCATTACAGAGGTGGCAACTCTTGTCTATGCATAGTTTAATAAAGCAATTGCATTACACTAAGATGTTGCAATTGGGCACCCAAAATATAATCCATTTTAAAATTCAGCTCAAGAGAAATGGTTCCCTATGCTACTACCAGTACCAGACAAAAGCAGGCTCAAAATCAAACAAAAATATAATGCAAAGAACTGAACAAATCAAAGCTGCTCTTCACTCTCTTACATTATTGATGCTCGAAGGAGAAGAGAAAACACCCTTGCCTCTGCACAGAAGCTCCGGCGAAGAATGGTGATAGGCTGATAGCCTCAGAGCTAGTGATACACACACATATATACACGCGCACAAGCCATGAAGCCAGGCATCACCATTACATGGATACAGAAGTAAAAGCAGAGGTGATCAACTCTCTTTTAGGAAGACTTGATGGAATGACAGTTCAGTGAATTATTGCAGGGAATCCACACACAGAACGAAGCTGCCATCATGTCCTCTCTGAAAAGGAGTATAGTATAACTTTTTTTAAAAATAATAATAATGAAATGGAGCATGTACTTATAATTAGTTAACAGTTTCCGCATCACTAAAGAAACGAAATGTATTATACTGTGGCCCAGATGAAACAACCTGTAGAAATTAAATGGTAATTTGCAATACATGCCTGTATCCAATCGTTCGTATTGACTTGCCAGCAGTCACTCCTTGCAAACACAACACACATCTACTGGCCATTTGTGTGGAGAGAAGTGGGAGGAACCCAAAAGCTCAGAATATGAATGCTCATGTGAGCTCAGTCAGGAGTCAGGAATCTAGAAGAACATTGATGCTTCAGAATATTTCGTCAGATTACCTGCGCGTGCGCAATAATATGATATGACCCATCAGGTCTGGCAAAAGTTACGAATATACGATCCCATCAGGTCTGATCCAATCGTTCCAATCACACCTGTGGATTTTGGCAGCGAGACCTCCCCTCCTCGGCTCCGCCTCCTCGCCTACACTAGTCTGGTCGAAGCCCACCAAGATCGGCGCATGGCGAGCCATCCGGTGAGGTTCGGCCGCGCACCGCCGTCCTTCAACGCTACCGGCCGCCGGCCTCCCGTTTCCCTCCGTCCGCTGCTCCACCAGGCCCGCCGAGCCTGGTGTCGCATGCCGCTCGCTCTCCACCTCTCCTCTTTCGCTCCAACACCCAGTTCTCATGAACCACTAACTCCAAGCCGCTCTGGTCCACCGGTCCATAAAGTCAGCCCGTGATACAGTAACTTGCGGCAACGGCCGCACTGCAGGCCCACTAGTCAGCAATAGAGGTCGCACTGGTTCACTGGACGGATAGCTCGATCAGACACTGGTCTACGAGCATACTGACGTAAACCGGGTTCACAGCACCAACAATCGCAACACCACCTGCTGACCCCACTGGTCAGCGAATCAAACACCCCCGAAAGTGCTATGTATACCCGGAATTCTAGAAAGCTATTTATTTCTTTTTTTTGAAACAAAGGAAAGCTATTTATTTCAACCCTAGCACCATGAATCCCCTCGACGCCAAGCTCATCCTCGACGCTCTCGACAAGCTGTTCGCCGAGCAGAACGCGAGGTGGGATCGGCGATTCGCCGATCTGGACGCCGCGTGGGATCGGCGGTTGGCTCCTCGGAGCGGCGCCCGGACCGCGGGGGAGCAGCGGGATGCCGCCGTCGCGCTTGGCGTCGGCACCCCCGAGCAGAACAGCGCGGCGCAGTCCGTAATCGCCGACAACGGGGGCGGCCTCTTCGAGCCGCACGACCACGACACGACGGAGCACATCTACTGCAACGAGCGGCCCTCTGCGGCGCAGTACGATGCCCCGGTAGTCGCCGACAACTGGGTGGGCTGTTCGAGCATCCTGCCCCCATCCCGGAGGAGCGCGTCCTCGACCTCTCAGCGTCCGACACCCCCTTCGGCTCCGTCTTCTCCGGCACCGCCGGCGAGGCCGCCTCCACCGTCCAGTGGATCGACGACGCGCTCAACGTCCCCGCGTCGCACCCCATAGAGAGCGGATCTGAGGTCTTCGGCTACGACACCGTGACGCCACACCTCTCCTCCGCCTCGATCGTCGCCTCGGTGTCGCCTGCGCGGATGCTCTTACAGTCGGCCTCTGCCGGCTTCTGCATCGACGCTGCCCCCAGCAATACTGCTGACTACGTGCTCACCAAGTGTTCGATGTATTGCCGCAGTGGCTTCACTTCCATGCTGACCACAGCACTGAGCAGTTCTACTCCAACTTGGGTGTCCGCCGTGGTTGTCAACAGCTTTGACAAGCGACCGTGGCCACAACCATCTCAAGCTCAAGTGTTCAGTGAATAAGGTATGCACAGACTAGTGGTTGGTAATCTTCTTGACGCTGAGCAGGATGTCATATGGTCAAAGCCCCCATGGACACCACCTCAAAGCAAAGAATTGTGGTTTCAGTTATCTCTGTTTTCTGTGCTCAGTTGTTCAGTGTGCAAGTGTAGGGTCACATTCTTGCATTGTGTGAGCTGTGATGCTGGGCTGCGTCCTCAACCATAGCCATCATTCAATCTAGTGGATGAGGGTTCTGCGAGCTGGTGTTCCACTTGTCTATGGAAGCACGGATGGCCACCTCCAGCTCATCGAGATCACAGAAGTGTACCAGTTGTAATTGTGAGGAGCTGGAAAGGCAAGATGATGTTAACAGTATGGAATTTTCTTGCGATGACTGAAGAAGCAACACAGTGGCAGTGTGACGGTCTTTGTCCGGTTGCCTTATTTGAGGGGTCTGAGCTTGAGAATATTGGGAAAGAATTCAACTGTCGTATATTGCTGGGGCTAGCTGCTGCTACTACTACAGTTAGGCCCAAGAGTTATTCTGTGGTGTCTAGGCTACAGCAACCATGGTTTCAGTCTCCGCTACTTCTGATTTGGCATTGGAAGCCCCCATGGTTATCTTCGGTTCAGCGATTAATCAGTGGTGCTGCTAAGCTACAGCCTATGCCATGGTTACGTTCAGTTAGACAAGCAATCAGTTGCTGGACCGGATTGCACATCATATACTTCTGTTTGCCACCAGCTCAAATCATCAATATGGGATGCTCTCAGCCCAAACTCAAGTCAGACCTCATGATAGTGACTTCAATGGATTCTATTACTCCTGCACTCTGGCCCATGAGTTTTATTCCGCTAATTCAAGAGCACACACAGCAGCGGCATGGTGGTGTTTGTCGGACTTCTTTGCTCCAGAGGTTTGACCCTGGGAATACAGAGCATGGTCGACAACTAATTCAGGGACCAAGATTTTGGCAAGCTGATATTGCTAAGTTGCAGTTCTGTGTTATTTCTTCTGGTAGCATGAGGGGTTCATCACAATACGTGATGCTACGAAGGCTACTTGACAGTGCAACAAGTCCGAGAAAGTACAAATGCATGCCCAGTTGACAGTTACTTGGTCGTCACCTATTTGGGCATGCTGTTCAGCTGTTTTATGGTTCCCGTTGCCTTCATCCTTACAGCAGAAATATGGTGTTTGGTTATCAGCTTTCAGGGTCCAGGCGTTTCAGTTGCAGTCACTCGTAGTTGATAGATGTGGCATTGGTGAAGATGACAGTATAATCTATGGTAAAAAATCTACCGGTGCCCATGAAGGTCAGTGCCTTGATGTGCCAGCTGGGGGCTCTTCTCTGCTGTATATTAAAAAATCTGGGAAGCAAGATGAGAAATCTGAACTAAAGTTTCTGAACCTGTATGGACAATATGGGGCCTAAGACCAGAGTAAGGCAACAAAAGTGTGGTGGTGCTTTCACTGAATACATCGCATTTCTAACTGGAATGTGCAGAGGATATGATGTTCGCAATCAGAGCTCATCGAGACTTTGGATCCCGGTGCTCTGGTTTCCATCTTCTCTATCGGCTTGGGGCAACCCGAACTTTAAGAAGGGGGGAATGTGAGGGATTGTCCAGTGGGCTGACATGTACAGCCCATACAGGCCCAAGACGGCAGGGGACGAGCACTACAAAGGAAGAAAAGCTACAGCAGCTCAAGACATCGAACAAATTATCAGAATATCTCTTCCTAGTCTACTGTTCATCTTCCTCCCGAAGACTCTCTCTCTTGTACCTAGATTACTATCTCCAGTCCCTTCTAGAGCCTTCTAGATCTGCCTCCTGCTCCTTGCTCCTCCTATCTGTACTCTCTGCTGCCTCCTCCCCTGCTCCAGTTCATCTTGAATCCCTACCGGGATTATATTGTTGGTGTGTGATCGAGTTGCCAAGGGTTGCTAACATTCACCCTCCGCCATCGAACCCCACTATCCGATTTTTCAAGCTTCTTGTAAGGCCACGTCACTCCAATTCTTTAGAGCTCGCCCGTCCCCTCTGCCCCTGCAAAATTGATGAGGTGCATCTCTCTGTTCGATCATTTACCCTATTGCCCTATTAATTAATCAATTCAACGTGCACCGAACATATTTTCCCCCTCCCAGTACCATCATTCACTCCGACAGTCCCACTTCCCATTAGAAGCCAACCAAAATGCCCAACCAGCAAACAAACATGCACTGATTTGCATGCATTCTCCACTTCTTAAGCTATATGCCAACAAGAGAATATATATCGGACCTTTTCAGCGCCATCATCACCTTTTTTTTTTTTGCGAGGAGAACATGATTTATGAAAAATACGTGTAACATTTGTATCTCCAAATAAATTTATTATAAAAATAGATTCAATAATCTATTAAATGATATTAATTTTGTACCATAAATATTAATAATTTTTTATATGCTAGTAAAATATGTCCATGCGGTTGCAACGTGATCCAACATGTGATCCAACATGTCTTAGTATCAGATTTCGTGTCTGTATGTCTACAAGATCTAATACATCTTGAAATTAGATTTAGTATTATTGCTAAACGGGATTTGTTCTAACTCAGTATGAGCAAAGTCGTAAGTTCGGTCACATAAGGCACACTGTGGTTGTTGCGCTAGACTGCTCAAAACCGGATAGCTTTTACAGCCTGTTTACCAACATAGTACTTCATAATTATAATTGAATTGCTTAATTATCACAATCGGTTGCATCATTTTCGGCACTAAACATTGTGGCCTCTCAGCAGCCTTAATCCCATATCCTATTCACTTGTTTGGTGAGGCATTTACCCTGTTCGCTTGTTGGTTTCAGTCAGACTTATTCAACCAGCCAACAGTGTTTTTCTCTCACAACAAACCAGCATCAGTCAGTTCAAACCAGCCCAAAAATCAACCAGCGAACACACCGATTAGATAGAGTTTAGGATACACACATGAATTTTTTTTTCTCCATAGAATTAAGATACAATAGCCTTCATCCTCCTTCTACCTCTAGCCTTTTTCTACCTCTAGACAATCACAAATCACAAAATCATAGATCCACAGATAAAAAAACAATTTTTTCTATGAAGGACAAATCACAAATCGTAGAGGAAGAGGTACCTGGAGCCGGGAGCTGCGCGTACCGGCGGTGCTCGTGCCGTCATGTCAAAGCTCCTGTGGCTCCGTCACAGGGTCCCCCGCTCTCTCCGTCAGGCGTCACAGGGTCATGCCGGTGATCTCCGGTGAAAAAAGAGAGAAAAAATTCATGTGACATTTCTGAAAAAAAATCGACAAAAAATGAAGAAAAAAAGAAAGAAACGCGGGCTTATCCACTCACGGACTCAATCGCGAGCTGTTCTTAGTGTCGGCCATTCATCAAACAGGTGCACAGAACGCGGAACGTCCGGCCAGCTAACGGACGGACAGGAGACCTAGAATATTATGCGACGGTGCCGCAACGAGACCTACCTGCAGCATGGATCCACGAGACCTCCCATACAAACCCGTCATGGATGCAAGTCAAGCCCCTTGTCTTCCTTTACGATCCAACGACGTGCCTAAGAGATGTCCTTCGCTGGGTAAGTTCGCATGCAGCTGTGGAGCCAATCCATCTGCAATAAATCAGTTGTGGAGAGCTACGGCCTACGGAGGCAGCATGGGCCATGACATCGCTCCTTTGCCCAATGCGTGTCCTCGTGGCTGTCTGGCCCCACTACAGCGTCGGGTAATTGAGCCGGCTATTGTTAGCTTCTCAAATCCAGACCAGGCGATGAAGCAAGGCAGGATCTCCTTCGTTAGAATCAGATCGAGCTTGTATCCACCGTACCATGCATGATCTGATTGATCGCGGGCTCACGGCGCATCATCAGGTTGATTTGACAACATCGCTAAGCCATGCTTCGACGTGCGCTTGACGATCCGCTGTCGCTTGCCACGCGCGCGGATGCTCGCGCTGGGCCACACAACTTGACAACCCGCTCTTGCCGCTCCTCTCACCTGTCGACTATGGCTGCTTCCATCTGATTCAAACACGGACGTCCTCCTCTTTGCTTCTGCACTGAAGTCATGGTAGGGTCGACCTTCGTTTGGGCTTGTTTGACTTATAAGCCGTACTTTTCAGTCAACGAACAGTATTTTTCTCTCACACCAGATCAGCCAACAGTACTTTCAGTCATGGCTTATCAGCCAAACAAGCCCAAGCGAACAGGACGCTTATATGAGTTTGTCGTGCTCGGACAAAGAACAACGCGCGAGAAATATCAAAAAGGATGATGACATGCGAGAAAAAGCGACTTGTGGTTTTTTAACATTATAAGGTATAAGATAAAAATAAGATTAGGATTCCTATTTGGACTGGAGAGATGTATCTCGAAATTAAGATTAGGATTTCTATTCAGATGGGAGGGATGTATTTGGAAAATAAGATTAAGATTCCTATTCGAATTGAAGGGATGTATGCAACACGCAAGGGAGAGAGCATGGCCTGCCTCTTTAGGAGTAGGATTGTCGATCTTATATTTAGTAGAGGAAGAGATGGAGTTTGACTCCGAGGAAAAATAACTTTTCTATTTTGACAGAGGAAATCAAGTGCTTTGCAATTGGACTCCGTATCGCGCTAGGCAAGAGCTATTCTAACTCGTATGAATATGAGTTATATATATAAGTCCGGATGGAAGAAACTTTCTATTGTCAGGTAGTTAGAGGGAGACGGACAAAAAAAAATGGACAGAAATTTTATCTCTTTATTATTAGGGATAAATATAGTCAAAATTGTTTCTCGAAAAACGAAAACAACAATTATTTAGGAACGGAGGGAGTATGTGATAGTCTGGGAATTAGATACTAAAGTTTTTGAATTGGGACAACCCTGTTTAGGAATTCCGGTTTTCACAGGCTGATCTGGTTAGAAGCACTCAGGCTTGGATGTACCGTGTACCGTTTTGTGTCTAAAAAAAATACTTGGAAATTCTTTTAATGTAGAATAGTTTTCACTAAGAAAAAAATATTCCTATCAATTTATACAACATGGGAGCACAGGTACCCAAGCTATTATAAACACAAGCAATGCCATCTCGCATCATATAAAAGATCGGTGCCATTCCTGCACCGGTTTACCAATTACCATGAGTCCTATATAGGGCTTACCAAAAGATGTTGCGTCTGTCAACATGTGAAACTGTTCATAGTTAGGACCTCCCAGGATGGTCATCAGAGAATTGGCCAGCCCGTCCGGAGATTAACCACACCATGGTTTAAGTTCAAAGATATAACAAAAAAAAAAACAAGCAAAATAACCCACGAGGTACTAGCAGACAGGATCACGCAGGACACAATCTCCTTCCATCTCAAGCTAAAACTGCTCCCTGGAGATGATATGGACCTCCATGGTAAGCTTCCTCTCGTTCTTCAGTTCAAACAGACAGAGGTCACCGACTTGCAGACCGTTGTCACGAACAAATGTCGTCCAGCCTCTCCCCAGAAACCTCTTGTGGCCACTATTAACCTTCATTTGGACCTTCCAGATCTTCCTCTTGCACTGGAGCACCATGGTTTGCTCTCTAGCTGGAAGATGAGCAGCACCATATTTTTTGCCGAATTCCTGATACGTTACAAGATTGGTGATTAGAAATAGAAACGTGTATGCATCACAATGACAGTCTGACATTGTCCAAAGGAACTGATTCCAAGGGTTCATCAGTACACAATGATTCGACTCTGCAACTCTGCAAAACTTTTTCAGAGTGCATATGCCATTTATGTGGTGTAGTAGAAAATACTTAGTTGATATGAAAGTGGACGAATAGATTGGAATTCAGACGAGAAACATGTTCACTTCGCTGTGCCATATTAACATGATAAGAACCACAATCTGGAGAACAAAAATATATAGTAGTAGTTTAACATTTAGAGAAGCATTAAACTTACTAGCTTAGAAACAGCAGCATTGGTCTTCCTCATTATTGCTATGTAAATGGGAACTTCAGATTTGATGGCTCTCACTTTGGCCTCAATAATCTTCTCTTGGGATCGAGATAGACCGCTCATTTCTGGTAAAATGTAGGAAGGCTCAGGAGGACCTCCAGAATCCTTGCTGTTTGGAGATCCATCAGAAGTTTCTTTCATGTAACTCTCCAATGAAACATGTTCTCCTACAAATAGATTTTACACCATAAGAAAGGAATAACTTCAATTTTGTCTCTCAACTCTTGTGTCTATCTAATTTCACCCTTAACTCCAAGACCATCTAAATATAAAACCCCAACTATCAGTACCATTTGATTTTGACCTCGAGCTCCTTTTTTATGGTTTTGGAGTGACGTGGCATGGTTTTCCCTCCAAATTGTTTTTTTTTGCCAACTAGACCATGCAACCGTCAGGGACTCAGGATAGCATGTCATATCTCCATTCTCTCT